GATCCTCCCCTGGTCCGGGGGAGCGGAACCTTCCCCGGCCCGGGGAGAGCCGATCCTTCCCGGACATGGGGAGCGGCTCTCGACACCGCCGGAGGTTCCCCGGCCGCCGGCAGCGCCCGGCCCGGCGCGGCTCCCGCGGGGAAAGCCCGGCAGCGCGGAGAGGACGGGCCGGGGCAGCCCCGACCCAGCCCCGTCCCAGCCCCGTCCCAGCCCCAACCCAGTCCCGTCCCGTCCCGTCCCGGTCCCGTCCCGCCCGCCAGCGCCGCTCCCTCCGCCCCCGCGGCCACCTGTGCGCGCTGTCCCCGCGCTGCCCCCGCGCTCTCACCGGCGCTCCGGGCGGTGCCGGCAGCGCGGCCGCGGTGCCCCGCGGGCCGGGCCGTGCCGGGCCGGGCCGGGCCGTGCGGAGCGGGCCCGGAGCAGGCGCGGCTGGGCCGGCGCCGCTGGCCCCGCTGCTGCGCGGGCCCGCCGAGGAATCCCAGGAATGAGGGAATTCTGCGGCGAGCAGGTGGGGAGCGCCGCCCGCCCCCATTGGCCGGTCGGCCGTGACGTCAGCGCAATTAGGGTAATGAGGCGCTGACGTCACATCCTCGCAGGTAGGGAGCGCGCGGCCCGGCCCCGCCCCCGCCGGGGAGGGACGCGGGGACGGAGGGTCGCGGGTTCGAGCCCCGGGACGGCCCGGAGCGACAGCGGGGACGGGAGAGAACGGGCGGGGACAACGCTGCTTCTGTGCTCCCCTGCTCTAACCCTAAGCCTTTTCCTCCCCCCGCAGGAAAAACTAAAGGGCAACGGCACTAAACCAAACCTCCAGGAAAACAACAAAAAAGCCTCTCTCGAGAGCGAAGCACTTTTTAGCAGCAGAAGCGCGCGTTTCGAATTAAAGCGCTGTCTGACAGCGGCTCGGTGTCCCCAGGCACACGGACACACGCACGAGTGACGAGTTTCAGAGCTGGCTGTGAATGATTGGGGTCACATCCCCGTCCTCCGCACGATGTGACGGGAATGGCTGGGAGCAGCTCCGGCGCTTTCCTGTTTACGCTCGCTCTGCAGCGGGGTTTTACCGAATCCCTGCTCCCGACGTGACTCACTCAGCCGGGAGGAGCTGCCGGCAGCCGGGTTTGAGCCAGAGCGAAGCTGAGCCCTCCTGGCCCCCAAACTGCTCCTCTCCCCTCGGCCGGCAGGGCAGGAGCCCTCGGCGCCGCTGCACAAACCCGGAATATTCCGATCTCCATCCCGCCCCTGGGGTGCTGGGACACCGCGCTGCTGGGAGAGGATCGCACGGTTCCCATCGTGCCAGCACAGCCGCGGGCATTCCCACGGCAGCGCTCACGCCAAGGGTGCCATGTCCAGCAATGCAGCAGCAAACCTTGCTAACACTCTGCCTGTTTTTAGCAATGTTACCAAACCAAGCTGTCGTGCAGCTCGCGCATGTGGAGGAGCCACTGCCCCAAAGCCAAGCCAAGGTTTCTCCAAGGCGCTCTGAAGAACCTGGGAATGCTGCTCCCGGGCTCGCAGAAATGAGTTCCAGGGCAGGAGACGATGTGGGAAAGTGCTGCAGTGATCTCCTGGTGGCCACATTCAACATCAGTCACCAAACAGGTCCCAGAACGGTGCATTTTATCCTCGCAGGGATCTGAGCTGGCCTCAGGCTCCTCTTGGGAGTGCGTTGCAAAGGGAAAGAAAAGGACAAAAAAATCAACCTGAGCCCCTTGAAGAGCCTTAGGGTTGCAGCTTTTTGGTGGAACCCAAAAAGAGCACAGGGCAGCAGAAACAGAGAGTGTTTGTGTGGAATTCTGCTCAGGGCATTTCCCCGTCCAGCTCCTCCTCTCTCGCTGTGACAATAAAGGCACAAGAACAGAAAAGGCAGCGCAGCGATGTTTGCTCAAGGCAAAGCAGCAGCAGGGCACAGCGGGGTTTGTCTGAGGTGCTGGGAGTGGGATTCCTGCAGGGAATGTGGAGGGAGCACGGCTCCCCGCAAGTAATACAAATGAATTCCTGCAGCAGCGAGGGCAGGGAGCGGCCGGGATGACCCCGCACACCCTGCACTTGGATTCCCTGGAAGCTCCAGAGCCCGTCAAGGCTTCGTGCTGGCCAGTTCCCATTTTAAACTCCATCAAAATCATGCTGACACCGAAGTATTTTCATACCCTCGCAAGGACAGGTCATGAGATCTCCGGGCCACCAAAAACTAGCCAAAAGCACGTTCCAAACCTAAATTAAATCCAGATTTAGACTCCATACACTCAGGATATCTAATAGGAGCCCTTCAGTTGATAAAACAAATTAAATGCATGTAGTGTCAGAACAACCATGAACCTAGTTTTATACATGTTGCAAACCCTATAACAATATAATTTTAAAATTGCTATTGTATTAACATACTACTGGAGATTATTTTCATTACCAGCAAGCAAGAAGAGGAGTTTGATGAACTAACATTTGGGAAAAAAGTAGTCAAAACAGTAATGTAAAACTTGTTTGAGAAAACAAGATACTGGACAAGAAAAACACGGTAAAATATGGAAAACAAAACCACAGGCACTGAGAAAAGATCTGAACTAGATATTGGTACATATCACAAGAATTAATTGTTGCAGACTAATTACAAGACTTTTCAATGTGTATCTCTGAGAAGAAAGTCTGCCACTCCTGTTTCTAACTGCTGGAGGGAAGAGGTGGGAAGGGTTTCTTTGTTTAACCAGACAAAGCTCCTGGGCTGAGGAGGAGCTTGAGAAAGGAGAGGTCAAAACACCTTCTGATCCTTTGGAGCTGCTGTTGCAGCTCCCAGCAGAAGTTTTAGAACAGGGTATTTATTAAACATCTCAGGAGCCTGAGGAGCATCAGCTGGCTGGGAACAGCGACCCCGAGCATTCCCTACAGAGCAACTTCTACTGCAGTGAGGTGACAACATCTGTAAAAAACAAAAAAAAAATGAAGTGCAAGTTTGTCAAACATTGGGGATCTTGAAAAACAGATCTTAACACAGCACAAAAAACTTTGGTGGGATTGCTGAACTCAACACATGATGCTCACCAGGCAAATTCACACATTAGGAAAGCAACCCAATCTTGGGTGATGAGCTGTATTTTCTTTTGCTCGGGTGTTAAAATTTGGTTTTCATTTAGCAGGAACTTTCTAACCCAATGGTATCAAAGGCTCTTTGCTGACTCACATACCAGCAAAAATTTACTTTTCTGAAACCCAAAACCTCACCAAGATAGTAGGATGCAAATTCTGGGATGCCACCCCTGTTCCAAATGTACATTAATCACCAAAAGTTAAGCACATTATTCACAAAGTATGGCAAATGCAACAGAATGTTTAACCCCTGCATGAGGGAGCTGGGATTGTGGCTGGCTGTGGATCTCAGCTGCCTCAGGACCACATTTTAAGACTTCTTTTTTTGTTTTGTTTTTTTTCATTATAGAGGCAGGAAAGTCCTGAAACCAGAGGGCAAAACCCCATATTCTAGCAAATTGCAGTCTGCAGGGAGCTCCCATGGCGAAATCTCTCTAAAAAGATATTCAGGGGTGATCTTATCACTCTACAGCTCCTGAAAGGTGGCTGTTCTCAGGTGGGGTTGGGGTCTTTCTCCAGGCAGCACTGACAGAACCAGACACAATCTTAAGATGTGCCAAGGGAAATTTAAGCTGAATGTTAGGAAAAATGATAAAGTTCTGGAATGGCTGCCCAGGGAGGTGGTGGAGTCACCATTCCTGGGTGTGTTTAACAAAGCCTGGATGTGGCACTGGGTGCCAGGTTGAGTTGAGGTGCTGGGGCTGGGTTGGACTCAATAACCTTGGGAGGTCTCTTCCAACCTGGTCATTCTGGGAATTCTGTGAATTCTGTAATCCTACAGCCCCACATCAAGCATGAATCTGTAATTCCTATTGGAATTGCCTGACATCAGTTTCATGACCAAACAATTAAAGTAAGCATTGCCATTGCAGTAAGAGTTGGTTAAAAATGCCTTGGGCGAGTTTCTGCCTCCACATGGCCCCAGCAGTGGCATCCCTCACTTTTGGGACAGACTACAGCATTCCCTGCCACAGGACCCCAGGGGACCCAAACCTGTCCTGCTGAACTATTTCTGAGGGATTTCAGTGATTTCTAAGAGCAGCAGCAGGGGGCAAGTGTTGTGTGGCTTCAATCAACAGTGCAAGTGTAGAGCTGCAAAAAGCCCCGTTTTCCTTAGCTGCCCATCTAAGGAAGGAATTTGCCAGCTGGCATCACCACATGTAAGAAAAATGAATTTACTGAAGTTCTGCCAGCTTCTTACTGCCATCCCATTTTGGTTTTCAAATGGCAACAATACAGATACTTCTTTTCCATCAGCCAGGAATGCCTGAAGTTCCCTGGAGTCTGCAGGGAAGCTTAGTGAGGACCAAACTCTGCACAAAGATGATGCAGTTGGTGCCAAAAGCAAACATTTTCTCCATTATTTGTCACAGGTTTAATGAGGCATGGCAGTGCTTTGCCATCTCTGTCAGTGCAATTACAGTGCATGCTTCCATCTATCCACACCTTCTTTCATAAAACAGGTTAATTTTACACCAAGTGACAGCAGCTTTTAAAATCAATCTCAAAGCACGTTTTAGTACACACAAATTACGTGGCCTCAGAAGCAAACATCTTTTAGCAATGAAAAACTACTAAACTCTGAATCTGAAACTCTTCCTTGCTAAAATCCACATTCAGCTGCACTGCAGCTCAAAGCTGCTAAAAACACACCCAAAATTTGATTTAATTTTTTTGAAGATAGTTTATTATTCATTACACCACAATGTGTTAAATTGCAGTAATTCCAGCCAGACAAGTTGATCCAAACTGTGAGTTGATGGAGATGGTTATTTATTACCTGCTTCAAGACAAAGCTTGCCCTCTTCATAATTGTCTGCCCCATCTTCCAAGGGAAGATGAAAAGAGACAGAATAATTTCAGTTGGAGCAGGGTCAGAACAGCAGCATCATCTTCAAGCAAACAATGAGATATTTTCAGACTCACACAGAACATGAACACAACTAACTCTGCTCTTTCAGAACATTTAACCACAGGTACTTTTGCTTGCTTTTTTCTAGAAAAGATTTTACCCCATGGAGGTTCCCATAAGATGAAGACAGACAAGATAGCTGAAAAAAATTAAATACATAAGGAGTGTCAGATTAACAAATTAAAAGCAACCTCTGACCACAACCCACTGGCTTTAATTTGTTGAAGTTTTGTTAAACACTGGTAAAAAGACCACTGATAGTTCACAGCAGAACTCCAAATGGCAAATTTAGTGTAAAGGAAAGGTCAGTACAGTCAGTGATCCCCAGCTGAAGGTTAAATATGCAGAGTAACCTCTTCATTATGCACTTTTTCCTTATGCAGTAAACATCCACATAACAGATTTCACTCCCTATTTGATTTGCATCCTGTCTCACACAGGACCAGATGAACTTCAGTTCAAGTGGGATCATTAAAATCAAATCCAGGTTGCAGCTAAGGATGAGATGAAAAATTATTTTCAGAGTTTCCACATCAATTCATGATAAGCTACACAATTTCCACATTTGCAGGCTGTAAGAAAAGGCTCTTCAGGATCACCAGGATTTTTTCTAAACCACAGCCACCAGCAGCAGGTCACTGGAGAAAAGGAACTGGGCACCAAATGGTGTCCAAAGCCCTTTGGAATATCCATCTATCAGCTAAGGATGCACATGGAATCACTCTGGAAGAACCAAGCTCAGTCACATCTGCTGGATGCAAACACCCACCCTGTTCCTGGGGCCCGCTCTGCAGCTCTGACAGCTTGATCTGGCTAATTCCTGAGGACCTGGGACTCTTCCTGACTGGGCTTTCTGGACAAAGGTCAGCCATCTTCTCAGGACAAGGGGACTCTCTCCTCAGCTTTCCAGGTGTGCCCTTTCCAGGTTTTTTTCCCCAGTTGGCTCATGGTGGGGTTGGGCTCTGCTCCCAGGGACAGGACAAGAGGAAAAGGCTTCAGGCTGTGCCAGGGCAGGCTCAGGGTGGGCACCAGCAGGAATTTCCCCATGGAAAGGGTGCTCAGGAATTGGAACTGCCCAGGGGGCTTTGGAGTAGCCATCCCTGGAGATGTCCAAGGAATTCCTGAATGTGGCACTCCTGGGCTGGGGACAAGGTGGGGATTGGGCACAGCCTGGACTCAGTGGTTTGGGAGAGCTTTTTCAACCTGAATTATCCTCTGATTCTCTAATAAAAATAACACACCAGTTTTCAATTCTATACTGGAAAGGGAATCCTGCTAAATTAGTCACAGATAAACAACAGAGGAGACATTCTTTAAACAACAAAAACATAAAGCAAAATAAACCAATCCTTGCTTTAAAAGCAGCTGTGTGAATACAACCCTTAAATATAGTCCACTTAAAAATGCTGTAAGAACTAAAAGTGCAGTGATGGATTTCATCATCTACTGTTATCTGCAGGGAACTCACCTTCAAACTGCCAAAGTGCTGCTGACTCAGTCTCCCCCTTGGCAAGAATCTCAGGCAGGCCTGCAGGGACAGAGTTAACAGGGGTGTGCAGGATGAGCACAAGCTCACCCAACCCCAGACTTGGGAGGCAATGAGGGGAAAGAAACAGAAAAAAAAAATTGTCTAGAATTTCTTGTGCAAATAATTTGGTTTTAAAAAGCTTTGCTCTGGGCTGTAAAGCCAAAGCACAGTGACAGCATCATGAGGCAGACATTGGGAGCTGCTCTGTGGCAGCCCTTCTTGAAGCATCCTAGGAAAGGAAAAACTTCTTGGCTCTCACTGCTGTACAGAGAGTGAGCCAGACCCTTCACCACTGCTGAGAGCAAGACAACTTGAGGATGGCAATATTAAAAGAAAAAACCAAAACCACAAACGAAACAAAAAAAAACAAAACACTGAATGCTCCCCTCCCATGCTTCACTCTGAATTTTAAAATAGGTTTGGAGAAGCTTGGGCAGGAGGCAGAGATTAAGCAAATAATCACTGTGTGGGAACACAAGCTTTCAAATTTACCAAGTGCACTGTGGAGCTAAAGAGATCCCATGTAGAGAAGTAATACAAATTAATTCAATAATGAGATGTTTTACTATTTACTTGGCTTATTTAATTCACTAGGGGAAGTATCTTAACTACCAGGTTCAGGGCTTTTAAAGAAGGTATCACTACAACAAAGGGAAATGAAGGAACCAAACCACAGAGTGTTTGTTCTTGGTCAGTTTTTGCTGTTTTGCTTTAAAAGACATTGTGGCTGCAAACTCAAGATCAAATGTAGTAAAATTTAAAATGGGGAAGAACCCTCTATACCCATATTTTACCCTCTATACCTATATTTTCAGTCTGTGCTTGCAGCTGCAAGACCTTTCATTTCTCAGAAAAAAATGTGTATAACCATTCAAACAGTCCCACCACTACTGGAAAGGACTTGCCAGAATACCAGATTATGTAGGCAAAAATTGCATGGAAGTTCTTAGACTAAAGAGGTGAATAAAATATTTGGAATTTGCATGAATTATTTCAGAATGTATAGTGTGAAGCTTCCTGTTCATGCAGTAAAACTCAATCCATTTCTAAACATTTCTGATTGAAGCAGGCTTAGTAAGAGGTTAAAACATGCAGGAGTAAAGTGATTACTGACTCTCCCTAAGGCAGTCGTTAAGTTCAGGATCAGTTAGCAACTGTGGTGAAGATTTTTATCTAGAAAAACAGGTAAATAAGGTCACTGCAAAACTTTGTGAAATCACAGTACCAAACGTGACAGAGCAACTATTGAGTCAAACAAAAAGCAGAGCAGAAAATAGCTATACGGAGAAAATAGCTATACGGAGAAAATAGCTATAATGTCTCTTGTTACTGCAGTAGGGAATACAAAGAAAATTAATTTTCTACAGACTATGTGGCCAGCAGAATGACTTTG